AGCATCATCAGTAAGTGCTGCCATTCTCCGCACCAAGCTACGAACTCTTCAAAGAGACAAATGAAGTCAATCTCACTTCTATACCTCGAAAGGAGGCGGCGACCAGACCAGAGGACACAACATCTTGGTCTTTATATCTTAGATCTTTGCGATTTTTAGTGTTAGTTACATGCGAAACTGTAAGAAACTCTGTCCGTCTTTTTGCCGTTTGCTATAAACAATAAAGTGAAGTTATATGTTTAAAGAGAATCCTTATGTTAGATTTTGCGTTTTATCGAGTCCATTTCCACATAAATTATCGCGTGAGAGCCATGCTACTTATTATCTGGTGAATCACACTTCCTATGGACATGCTGTATAAAGTCATTCATTGAAAGATTATACCAAAAGGCGATGGTTGATCTCCGTTGTCTTGGGGTGACTTGATATTACAATGACATTATGATTGATGCAGTAAACTAGGCATACATCTTCCTTTTCTGTAGGGATAGAAAAAAGAGCGAACTACTGCTGTAAATAGCCAACTAACTCGCCATTCTTACGCCGCCCATATAATAATTACGCTTTACGCATAACTATGCACCTACACAAATATTAATATATATATACATTTATTTATTTATTTACTCCTATTTATACATTAAAGTAGGATCTGGAATATTGTTCCCTAATCAATTAAAGTCTCATTCTGTTTTATTTGTATTATCTACGCAACTAAAATATATATATATATATATATATACAAATATAATGAAAGTATATGAGATGTTTAAGGTGATGCAGAACAGGTAATTTACTTTTCCTACAATGATATGATTGGACCCTTTTTTGCCATTGAGTTTAACGTAGCAAAAATGGGTTTTTAGCCAAGGTGGAGTTGACCGCCATTTCGACCTCGCCTAAGCCTCCTTATGACGTCTGGCCAGACTAGAACCGAATGAGCCGGGGCAGGAAGCTGCATTAACGGGGTTATATTCCCTCTGAAGGTGCTGATGAGACCTAAGCGAAGTCAAAACTGCAGTACACTCCTGCCTGAGTAAGAATACCTTTTGGGAAATAAGGCTGTGTGAAATTCAATGTAGAAGTAAGGCCTACTCATATGATTTGGGAAAATTCCGCTACCAGTTCTTAATCACTTTAAACCAAGTAAGATGAACACACCTCATGTATGTGATCTACTGCTATTCTCGAAAACCTACTCATGAACGAAAATAACAAAAGTAAACTTGAAATTATGAATTAGCATTATTCCCGATACAACCATGACACTTTTCCATCCTCTCGAAAGAAGGAATTCATTACACTGGGATAATGCGAGAAAGGAATGTATACATCCTAGACCGCACGATGTGATTAAGGATTGATGGTTGCATTTTCGAACAATACTATGAGAACGTATTACGATTTCAGTGATATTCGCTTGGCCTTGCTTTGAAAAAGTTTCTTCTTATCCAAGCTGGTCCGCAGGTACGACGTCGACTGGATCCCTTCAGCATCTCTTAAAAAATTCGAGTCCGAGCCGCGTGCGTAAGGGGCGATATGTTATTCATATGCCACACGGCCATGAATGTCAGTCGACTGCAGTGCAGTCCTATTTCTCACTAGAATTGAATATATACCATTTATATTTATACTAAGTATATTTCAAGACTATCGATTGATCTTTTATACTAACCGTGGTCACCCAAATTCGCATGAAATTTCGAAGTACTGATATTCGCCCGCCCCTGTATTAAAGTGCCTCTTAGAGTGAAAAGATAGGGAAACTTCTAAGGCTTTATGAGGCTCAAATAATTATGGAAATGTTCAACTATCAGTCCAAAAGCGGCCTTTCTTATAAAACTGTTGCGGACCTACCTATTATGAATATATGTAATATATAATTAGTAATAACATAATTGTTATAAAAAAATATTATATACATAAATATATGTGTATATATGTAAGCAGTACATTTCAGTCATAAGTGTAAGTTTTCATTTTTCACAATCCCACTATAAACATTGATAAGATTGAAGGTAAGCCTAGAGCTTAGTCAAATCTACTGATGGCCTCTAGGCCTAATTATTGTGGATTATTTTATGAAAGCAGTATCATCCAAATTAGTGCAAATAAGGCAAAAATAAACCTTAAGTTCTAGTCTGACTTAGTTTTATGTCTCAGGGTGCCTGTAGAAGGACTGTTAAAAAAAGAGTTGTGCACATTTTTCGGTGGCTCCGACCTGCACGGGTCTCATGCTTGCATCCTTCAAGGCGGGACAGAAGCTTGCGATGAGCGCCTTCAAAGCTGATAGTAAACCTTTCGAATGGAAGACCTCTTGCCCTCACCTCCTTCTCCACCGATGGCCTTCACATCATTTTGTCTTCCAAACGGCCTCGGACGTCTGGCAAGCTACTGGTCTCGATTCCTGCCAAATTGGCGTCCGTATCAGGAAATGGCCAGTTTGGTGGTTGCAAATTTGGGTTCAGAAGAAACACAAAATTGGTGCAAATTGTCTCCAGGCTTGTCCTCGAATTGTCGTCCTTTTGGCCTCATGATGTCTTCATTTACCCGGGATTGCAGCTCGACGCATCACTCTCTTTTTTGACCGCCAAATTTGACACGTCCTGTCCAATTTGTGTCAGAACTTTCGTGTAAACTCGTCCGCCTACCTCTTTTGCATGCCGCCTGTATGCGACACAATTGCGTGTAAAATCTCCGGCTTTTCTGGCTTTTGATGAAAGACTGGCCACATGAAGACTAGCCATTTCGTATTCCCTTGTCTCACATGAGCCTGCAAACACAAATTTAACTGTTCCAGGTCCAGTTGAAGACGACTCAGACGAATTAGAAATATGCTGTCTTTCACCTCGAACCCACCTTTCTAACTGGCGTATGCTTCGAGTGAATCGAGCTTTTAAGTAAATGCGCATGGCCGACAGCTTGTCTTTTGTCTATTTTCGTACCTTTGACGTACCATTATTTGTGTGCCCAATGGAAAATGAGCCTGGAAGCTGAAAGCGTAAAAGCCATAGGCGGAAGTGTCATTGCAAAAGCGTCCATTAGAAGAGGATGACAAGGCCAAATGTCGACCACATTCTCCTCGCCTCTCCTTGACACAAATGACTGAGGCAGACGATTTGGCCGCAAAGCTGACCTGATCACCATCAACAATTTCCGATTTAAGATCTCAGATCCGCATTCGCCAAACCACGAATCCTAAATACTCGATCCCTTATCCTAACATCCTAGACGGTGTTAATCTACTCCTGATTGCCGATTCCCAAGGACCGATTCCACCTCTCCAACCATCGCCCTGTATTCCTCGATTACAGATCTTAATCCATAATCGTCCATTCTCAAGCTCGATCTCCGAACTTTCATCCTCGGTTATCTACCCTCAATCCTTCATCCTCCATCGCTAATCCCAAACCTGCAAGCCCCGGATCCTGTCCGCAGATGCATAATCCTCTATACTCGATCCTTGATTCCCGCACCCTGCTCTGACTTATTAAATCCCAGATCATCAATCCATAATACCCAAACTCGGTTCTTCACTTTTTTATCCTCAATATTCTCTCTTTTGTTTCAGATTTCCTTCCACAAGTTTGAATCCTTGACCCGCAACTCATATTTCGTTTGATTTAATCCCTGTTTTTTCCCTATTAACCGATTCTTTGCCTTTTATTTCCATTGCATAATCTCTGCCACCAAACTGGAATCCCGAAGCCCTATTTCAGATTCCAAACTCTGATTTACGAATTTCGATAAAAGCTCTCCAATTTTGCCCATCCTTCTCAGTTCGCGATATTTTATCTCTGACCTTTAATCTCGTTCTTAGATATTTGATAAAT